CAAGGTGGGAAGATTGCTTGAGCCCAGGAGTTTGAGACCAGCCTTAGCAACATAGTGAGACCCCAATCGAGAGAGAGAGAGAGAGAGAGAGAGAGAGAGGACCACCATGTCAGCAGATTCTTTCATTTTCCTCACCTCCTCTACTTGGTCCTCCATTTCCCCATGTACACAAGGCTCTTCTGGTGGCTCCTAGCTCTGCTAGAGATTCCCCCTCTGGTCCTTCCCCTGATCAGGTGGTCAGGGACAAGAATGCAAATCCTCTTGCATATAAAGACCCCACCCTCAAAGGCTGCTAGGATAAGGTGAGGGCATTCAGGGGGCTGCTCCACTCAATCTTCCAGCTGCCTCCAGGCACCGCCACCTTCAGGAGCTCCTCAGAAAAGCTAGGCACAAGCCTAGTGGCAGAAGCTTCCTGACGCATTCTAGGGCCCTCTGTGCCTTAGTTTCCCCATCTAAAAATGGAGGATCCAGAATCCACATTGTCCAGACTCTGAGCTCCCTAAGAGACCCTATCCCTCCCCTGCCACAAGTCTCCATGGCTCACCTCTCTTGGGGTGAAAACCAAAGTCCTTCCAACACCCAGGACCTGCTCAAGAACCTGCCCCACTCCCCTCCTGCCTCCCCTCCCTCCCTCTCCCTCTTCACTCTGCTCTAGCCACAAGGGCCTCCTTGATGTTCCTCCAACACATCAGATGCGGTCCTGCCCCAGGGCCTTTGCAGGGGCTGTTCCTACTGCCTGGAATGCTTTTCCCTTGGTTTTAGAATAACAGCCTTCCCATCTGTCATTCAAGTCTCATCTCAAAGGTCACCTCCTTGAGAGGCCGTCTCTGGCCCGCAAGGCAAGCTGTCATCTCCCAAAACACATCTTCAGTTTATTCGAGGCAACTCACCTATCTCAACTTTATTTATTTGTTTACTAGTTTATTGCCAGTCTCATCTACCCTTGAATTGCTTTATGTCCTCAAGCCTCGCTCAAAGCCTGGCACATAATAGAGACTTAATAAGGTCGCTGCCTTTTTTATTTTGAGACAGGGTCTGCTGTTTTCCAGATTGGAGTGCAGTGGCATAATCATGGCTCACTGCAACCTCCGCCTTCCCAGCCTCAAGCCATCCTCTCTCTTCAGCCTCCCAAGTAGCTAGAACTACAGGTGCATGACACCATGTGCAGATTTTTAAAATTTATTTTTTATAGAGAAAGGGTCTTGCTATGTTGCCCAGGCTGGTCTAGAACTCCTGGGCTCAAGCAATCCTCCCACCTCGACCTCCCAAAGTGCTGGGATTAAAGGTGTGAGCCAACACAGCCAGGCTGTTGACTATTTTGACTGCCTGACCGTTTATGGGGAACACCTACAATATCCAAGACATTATTCAGGTTAATTACATGAATCACACCATATGTTTTTTTTTTCCTTAGAGACAGGGTCTCACTCTGTCACCCAGGCTGGAATGCAGAAGTGCCATCATAGCTCACTGTAACCTCGAACTCCTGTGATCAAAGCAATCCTCCCGCCTCAGCCTCCTGAGGGGCTGGGACCACAGTGCACACCACCACACCTGCTTCCTTTTTTTTTTTTTGTAGAGCTGCGTCTTGCTGTGTTGCTCAGGCCGGTCTTGAACTCCTGGGCTCAAGGGATTCTCCCAAAGCACTGGGATTACAGGTGTGAGCCACCACGCCTGGCCACATCATATAAGTTAATGCAATTTTGACAACTGCTCTGTGGGCTAGCTATCTGTATTCTTTCTCTTTTACAAAGTAACTACAGTTCGGAAAAGATGAAGTGGCTTTTCCAAGATTACACAGAAATAAAAAATGGAGCCAGGATTAGAACCAAGCCTGTCTGAGATCAAAGGTTATGATCATTCACATTCACAGGTGAGAAGGAAGGTAGTAAATGTTGAGGAAGCATCCTTCCATCCTTCAATCTATCCCACCTTCTATCTATCACCCATCCAATATTCATCCATGCACCCACCCTTCCATCTAGTATTCCATCCACTAATTACCCATCCATCTTTTGATCCATCCATCCATTAATTTCTCCATCTACCCATCATCCATCCATCTATCCATCCATTCACTCATGCATCCATGCACTCATCTGTCCACCTATCCATCCAACCATCCATCCATCCACTCATTGACCCACCAGCTCATCCACCCACCCATCCACCAAATATCCACCAATCTATTCATCTGCTCATCCATCCATCCACCTACTCATCCATCCACCCAATCCATCCATCCATCCATCCATTTATCCATTTATCTACCATCCATCCATTCACCCACCCACCCATTCATCCACCTGTCCATCCATCCACCTATCCATCCATCCACCCATCTACAAATCCGTCCATCTACTACCCATCTATCATCCATCCATCCATCCATTCACTCATCTATCCATCCATCCATCCATCCATCCACTCATTAAACCACCAATCCATCCACCTACCCATCCATCTGCCCATCCATCCATCCATCCATTCACCCACCCACCCATTATCCATCCATCCATTCACCCACCCACCCAATCATCCACCTCTCCATCCATCCACCTATCCATCCATCCACCCATCTACAAATCCATCCATCCACTGCCTATCTGTCCATCTATCCATCCATCCATAAATCCATTCATCTGCCCATCCATCCATCCATCCATCCATTCACTCATCTATCCATTCATCCATCCATCCATCCATCCATCCACTCATTAAACCACTAATCCATCCACCTACCCATCCATCTGCCCATCCAACAATCCATCCATTCACCCACCCACCCATTATCCATCAATCTATTCATCCACCCACCCATCCATCCATCCACCCACTCATCCATCCACCCAATGCCTCCATCTATCCATCCATCAATCTACCATCCATCCATTCACCCACCCACCCATCCATCCACCTGTCCATCCATACACCCATCTGCCCAACCATCTACAAATCCATCCATCCATACACATCCATCATCCATCCATAAATCCATCCATCCACCCATCAGTTCATTCAAACCCTCCACTTACCTACCCACTTCTCTATCCATCAAATCCACTCATACCTAGCATCACTGTCACCCATTCATCCACCCATCCATGTCTGCATCCATTGATTCACTTATCCATCTCTCCATCCCTCCGTTAGCCTGCCCATCCCCACACCTTCTCATTTCCTCATATCCTTGTTCATCCACAAGCTCACTTCCAAATGGCCAATGGGACACAGTCTCTGCCCTCCTAGAGCTTCCACATCACTGATGTTGACCAAGACCCTGGACCAAGTGAACTCCTGCTAGGTCAGTGTCTTCCAGACCTAACAGCCTCTCCCTTTGGCCCTGGTCATCTTAAGTTCAAGGACAGCTGGCCTCCCTGGGTGGCTCTGACTCCCGTCTATGTTTCCAAAATCATCTTTCTTTCTCTCCTTGCAGAGCGGGGCAAGGCTCAGACTGGGAGGGGTGAAGCCCAGCTGTTCTGCTGTATGGTTGGGCTGGGTGTTGCCCCTCTCCGGGCTCCAATCTCCTCCTGTGGTTCATATGGAGGAGGGGAGCTTGGTTATCTAGGAGCCAGTATAATCGGAACACACATCTGCTTCTTGGTATTTCTCTCCTCCCACACTGAGGGCCTCACCCCACCGGAAGCTTCTATTTTGTCCATCCAGGTGTGAAGGAAATGAGCATATTTTGAGCAAGGCTGGGAGGCTGGGACGAGGCTGGCGGTGGCAATGACAGTGCTTCCCAAACAGGTCTGCCTGAATCCCTCCCCGCTCTAAAGTCTTCCATGGCTCCCCAGTGCCCTCAGGAAACAGTCCAAGCTCAGTCCAGCATCAGAGGCTTTCCTGGTCCAGCCGGTGCTGACTCTCCAGCCTCATCTCCCATGCCTCACCTAATCCTTCCTCTACCCCAGCTATGCAAATTCTTCACGCCTCCAGGCCTTCACAGACCAGCTTCCCTCCCTGTATCCAGAAAGTCAAGACATTCACCTATCTGTCCACTGCTGTGTTTCCAAAATCATCTTTCTTTCTCTCCTTGCAGAGCAGGGCAAGGCTCAGGCTGGGAGGGGTGAAGCCCAGCTGTTCTGCTGTATGCCCATCATAGGGCCTGGAACACAGTAAGTGTTTCTGTGAATGCATAAATAAAATGCTTTCTCCACCTGGAAAGCTCCTATCGATCCATCAAAGCCCCACTTCTAATGCCCCTCCTCCAGGCAGAGCTCCTGCTTCATTATCCAGTTTCCTCAACCTTCCTCCCTTTGACCTAACCCAGACTATAGGTGCCAGTGTCTGGCTCTGGCCTCAGACCTTTCTTGCTCAGCACAAGGCAAGGCCCCAAAGGGTTTTCAAGAAGTCTTGTGCGGGTGAATGAATTAATGAATGAATGAGTGTGATCCCACCAGGTGTTTCCAGTGGCCAAGGCCTCACTTGCCAATTTGAGGGGTGAGAGAGAGAGAAGTCCACTTCAGAGGGAACCTCCTGGGTCCAGCCCCAAGCTAGGACCCCTCGGAAGAGCCCCAACAGGTGAGCCCCATAGAAGACAGGGACCCAGGGGCTTCCAAGGCCCTCTGCTTTGTTCCTACCAGGGCAAGCACTCCATCCTGCCTGCAGCTGGGCTCCGCTGGAGTTAGTGCCCCTGCGGGCCCCTGAACGTCGCCAGGAACACCTCTCCCCAGGAATGCATCCTCCTCTCGCTTCGGGGCTCAGCGTAGTCATATAATAAGTCCGCTCCCACTGACCAAGCACATACTGTGCCCGGCCCCAGGCCAGGAGCCTCCCTGCCACTTCTCCTTTCTCCTCCCTGGTTTCCTCTGAAACAGGAAGACCCACCCCAGCTTGGAGGGATGAATACACCTGCCCAAGGCCACAAGATACGGAGAAACCAGACTCATATCAACTCCAAGCTCTCAACTACTCTTCTACACTAAATGCCTCCTTCTCCAGGCAGCCCTCCTGGTTTCCACTCCTGCAGGGGCAGGGGCAGGGCCCTCCGCTGGGTTGTCACTGCTGGTGTGTTTCGCCATCACATTCCTGAGCTCCATGGCTTGTAAGCGCAGGTTCTCAGCTGTCTCCCCCCTCTAAACTGGAATCTGGTGGGAGGGGAGGTCTGGGTGGGGGTAGGGATGGCAGATTGTAACTGTTTTGCCCAACCCAGTAGCCCAGGGTCTAGAACGGGGCCTGGTACACAGCAAGCGCTCAATAAATGTTGCTCATACAGGTAGACTACTCCATCATGAATCCCGTAAGGAATCCTGTTCACATCAAATGCCCAGCTCTGCACAGATGCTGGAATACAGTAGGCGTTCAATAAATGTTCTCTGCCTGAAGCAGTGGAGGGAGAGGTGCAGAAACGATGTCACAGTCACAGGTGTGAGGCTCCCAGGCCTCATAAAAGACTGTTAAATAAACAAGAAAATGGGCAGCAGGGGAAAACGAGGCACAGAGAGGGGTGTGCCCAGTTTGAAGCCACACACCACCCCAGCAGGGATCCTTCCCAGGCGCACACACGCTGGCCAACCCTGCGGGCCGCCTCCAGCCCCCTGCTGCTGTCCCCGCCGCCACCAGGAGCGCCAACGGCGCCCGCGGTCCCCCGCCAGGCCGCCCAGCCCGCCTTCTCCCTGGGGCTGGTGCGTCACACGCGGAATCTCACGCCTCAGAGCTCAGACTGCCACAGCCTTCTCCTCCCCCCACCCCGCCCCAGCCGAGCTGGCAGCTGGTGCTCCCATGGAAACCGCGGGCCCCCACCCGGGCCCCTGCCGGGCCCCCCATCTACACCGTCCCCCAGTGCAACCTCCGCTTTAAGACAAATATTGTCATTAACATGCAAATGTATATGCCATTACCATAAACGGGGGCCCCAGTGGCAGCAGCGGACCAGCACCACTGCGGGCACCTTCCCCTGGCAGGGTGGGCACCCAGGCAGCCACCATCCAGAGACAGGGGCAGCCGAAGCTCCAGCGTGGCCTCCCTTGGTGGGAGGGTCCCTGGGGCAGGAAGCTGCAGGGGAGCCAGCGGGAGCCCCCATCCCAGCCTCCAGTTCCTGGCCTGACCCCCCGGCCTGGGGTAGGGGTCCTCCCTGGGGGACGCCCCCTCTCTCTGGATGAGGAGGTCTGGCAGGAGCAGCTTGTGGGCTCCCTGTGGGCCTCCATCTCCCTGCAGCCCCTCCTTCTCTGTGTCCTCACTTCTCTCTCTTAAAAGCAAACCCAGCGCCCCAACGCCTGCCCTCTTTGGGAGGACACCTGGACGCCGCCCTGTCCCCCTCCCCCTGCCCCACGCCTGGACAAGGCCTCGTGCCTTTCTCTGGGTCTCAGCTCGGCCTCTAGGAATCCGGCTGCTCCCACGCCGCCTTCAGGCAGGCCAGCTACGGCTGTCAGGTGTCACGGGCTCCTCCGTCCCCAGCACCATCTTTGGGGGCCTCACTCTCGGCTTCAGGGAACCTGTCACCCCCACGTCAACGTCACACAGATATAACCATGGGTGCTCCCCCGGCCTGGGAGGAAGGCAGGGAGGAAATGGGGTCCTGGCTGTGGTCAGACTGGGACTCAGGATGAGTCTCTCCAGGCCTCAGTTTCCCAGAAATGCGCCGTCACTCCGGAGCCCACCTCCACGGTGATGCCTTCCATGAGGACATCAAACAAGGCCCCACCGTGTGGAGGCCAAGGAAGGGCTGGAGGTGGTGCCAGCTGACCCCCTGGCTTGTGCCAGGAGCCGTGCCCCTCCAGGGCGTTCTCATCCCACCCCAGCCTCCTCCTTACAGATCTGCCCAGTCCCACGGGCCCGCCAGCATCCGGGGAAAGGGATTTCTCTCCAGGCCTGGGGTCCACACCCCCATGGCCCTGCCTCTCTGAAGAGGCACACTCTACTACACCAGGGTTCCCAGAAACAAAGCCCTAATAAGGTCAGTGTTGGTGGCAGGTGTCTGAACTCACTCCTCGCCTCAAGAATCCTGACTTCCCACTCACCGTTCCATCTCCCTTTGGCCAAGGCCCAGAGAGGGCAGTCACTAGCCAGGAGTCACACAGCTGAGCCCCAAACGCAAGCCTGGATCAGAGATGCTGATTTTGGAGACACCCCCACCTCCTCCCTTCCCGTCACCCCTTCGTGCCAAGCACCCACGGGCAAAGCCCAGGTCAAGTCCAGCCAGGCCCCGCACAGGCGGGGATTCACTGCCCTGAGGGTACCGGGGAGCTGCACCCATTTTCAACATGAGAGAAAGCCCCTGTATCTCACACACAGACAGACCCAGGACCCCTAAAACGCGGAGGGCGACCGCCGGCTATCATGGACGTGGCCTCTCAATTCTCACCCTCCAAGGAAAGCCCGCAGATGGGAAATACCCCCGAGGCATCCCAGGGACCTCAACATTGTCCAATATGTAAAAAAATAACTGGGCGTGCGCCATGGTCTTGCTGTCAACAGCAGGGAAACTGAGGCTCAGGACCAGGTGAAAACCCAGCCCCAGCCCCTCCCTCACCCCTCACCTCTCCCTTGTCCAGATTTCCCAGAGATTTAAAAATAAGAAGAAGAAAAAATGAAGAATTCTCTGGGAATCTCCAATCCCTGCACCCCCATCTGTCTCTCCAAACTAGAGCTCAACCAGCGGCCTTTCAATGCAACCTTTTGGGGGGCCACGTGGACTCCCCCACTCCCACGGGAATCTTTCTAGAAATGGGTGCTTCCGGTATGCCAGGGGGTGAGGGCGTGTGGGAAAGCCCACCTATCACCTCTGGACCCCAGAGATTGAGTTCCGGGGGCCGCATGGGAGCCCCTCTGCCCTCCTAGGCCACAGGAGGAGTTAGATTTTTCAGGCCCAATTTTTTTTTTTTTTTTTTTTGTGATGGTTGGTTTTGAAAAGAGACGGGGAATGGGGAGGGGTTTCTTTCCTCTCCCTTAAGATACCAGCTGGAGGGTCTAGCTGGAGTGACAGACCTGGGCTCCATCTCACCAGACCCTCCCTAGGGCCCTCTTGAACCCATCATTCATTCATTCATTCACTCACTCACTCATTTATTCATCCATTCATTCAATAAACATGCATTCATGTTTACCGGGGCACGCAGCGCTGGGGGAAAAGTGGGTCAAAAATAGGTCATGGGCCCCGGTCGGTCCCCAAGGCCTCTCAGGGTATTCCTGGAGGATGGGGGGGACTGGGGGTGTCCAGGACAAAGCCTCTGAAGTGCCCACCCCCAACCCCCAACACCTGACGGGAAGGCTGTCAAAGCCACCCCAGTTCGGACGCTGGGCCCGTGGTGGGAACCAGGGGCTGGGGACACAATCGCTGGACACCCCCATCCGCGATGCCGCGGGAGGGAGAATCCGCGGGAGGGAGGCAGACAGGCCTGAGGCCGCCCACGCCTCCCTCCTCCTCCCTGTCCACCCCAGGATTTGGGCTCTGCCCAGATGGACACGTCCAAGCTCATTGTCTTGGGCCTGAGACCCCAACACATTGCTAAGAGGCTCGGCCAGTTTCAACTTGAGCCCAAGGCGGAGGCGGGGGAGGGGGAGGGCAGAGAAATGGAGGAGAGAATGCTGATCCACGCGAGGTGGTGGGGCCAGGGGGTGGGCGGCAGAGACGGGGAGCCTCTCCGCCACCCCAGGCGAGGCCAGGCGCGTCCCCCCAAGCCGGGCGCCCCCAATCCGTCTTTCTTTGTAGTTACCGATCAGCCTGGGGTCCTGGGCATCCGTGTCCCCCGCGGGCCGGACCTGCCCCGCCGGCCTGGCTTTGTGAAAATAACCAAAGCAATGGAGTCCGCAGGTGCAAACTTCCCCGACGGGGCCTGGGGAGGCTGAATGAATGGGGGG